AGTAGGGTGATGCATGTGATATGCAATGTTTTCTTATTTTTCTACCTTTATCCATCAATTTTAGTTCGGGTACCCTAGGTATCGGCAAGTTCGCTCTATTTTCATATCTCGATGATTGCCAAATCACCCTACTACTAACAACATAATTATCTCTCATTGTAGCACATGGTTAGTGGGATTATCCATCGCCTAACCGTATAATCAAGTAATAGAGCATACACAAAGCTTCATTGCTAATACCCCTTACTCGTTACACCATACAATTACAACAATAGAATGAGCCAACGCTCGTAAGTAGGGTGATGCATGTGATATGCAATGTTTTCTTATTTTTCTACCTTTATCCATTAATTTTAGTTCGGGTACCCTAGGTATCAGCAAGTTCGCTCTATTTTCATATCTCGGTGATTGCCAAATCACCCTACTACTAACAACATAATTATCTCTCATCGTAGCACATGGTTACCGGGATTATCCATCGCCTAACCGTATAATCAAGTAATAGAGCATACACAAAGCTTCATTGCTAATACCCATCTAATCCAGCTTTGGTTACCAAACCTCATCAATTCTCAATCAAATGATTTCTCTCAATTCAATCCACCCCCGAATACATATGATGCATATGATATTTTATTTACTACATTCATGCAATCAATAGGTACCAAACCCTACAATCTCAAACCACTCTTGAAATCCAATCCGCACATAGGATTTCATATGTATATATATATGTCACATATCATACATAATATTCACCCAAAGAAATTAATTACCATTATTTAGTATTACTTAATCCATAACTTCACTTCGTATGTAAGTACCTTCCTTCGTATAATTAATAGGTTTTAACCTGCATTCAATCCAACCACTTAGCTTACATTAACGTTAGTCCTAATGATTAAATTAAAACATAATAAAGGTGTAATTTCTCTTCTAACTCGAATTTTAGCCATATTGGCTGAAATTGGCTCTTGAAATTTTAGGTCCTATTTTCAAATTTTCTTGAAGTTTTACCTTTCTATGCTTGAAATTATACTTATTTAAGTACACTTGAAGCATCAATTCTAGAGTTGGATGAGTGGAATTCAAATCCTAAAAATTAGGGTTTAGGCCGAATGTGACTTAAGGATTTCAAGAAATTTTCTTCGATTGGTGTGAAGTTTCTTTTCATCCTTAACTACTAATCCATACATAATTGGTTACAATTAAGTTTTAGGACATTAATTACATGAAAATATCAAAACCTTGCCCATTTTAGCATTTAGGCCAAATAGGTTTCCTTAAGGAAAACTTAGGAACTCATTCTTTACCTTGTTCTAAATTGTTTCTTCGAAGTCCACATCAACCATAATTTACTCCAACTAAATTTCAGCCAAGCCCATTCATTTCCTAACCAAACCCAACAACAATACTTGAATATACACAAAACTTTATGAATACACATACCAACAATTCATCATATACACTATAGCAACAATTAGATGCATGTTAAACCAACAAACACAATACCAACACAAGCAACCCATAACAACATAATCAATAGCTCAAGTCAATCACATAATTTAAACACTTAGAAATAGACTTTATGGCATGAAACAAAACCTCGCTTACTTAGTTTAAGTTTGCTAGAAAATCCCTTAGTCTTTTCTTCTCCTTCCTTCTTTCTTTCTTTCCTCTTTTTCTTTTCCCGTTTTTCCCTCTTCCAATTCGCTTTCATCTCTTTTTAGTGAGCTAAAATTTTCTAAAGAGTGGCCGACCATTCAACTCTTTATATATATATATATATATATATATATATATATCTAACTTTCTTCCTTCATTAATTAACATAACAAGAATGACAAGTGTCTTAAGTTAAACTTATAAGGTGTAAAGTGGTGGAAGGTTTTGGAAAGCTAGGTGGCGGGTTTGGAAGTCAAAGGAGGTGAGGTGTAAAGTAATGGGAAAGGTTTGGAAGCTTAGGCGTCAATTTGCAACTAAAAGATGGGTAATGAGAATAAAAGTAATTCTAGAGGAATTTGGTTCAAGAAATTCGACATTTCCCCAAAATTTTGGCATTCTCCTAATGTTTAGGTAGTAATTTTCTTTTTATCACTTACATAGCATATTCTAAAGGAGTGTTAAGGGAAATAATTACCGACGAACTAAGTTACCCAAAATTTATTCCAATAAATACTCACTTAAACACCAAATATATTAACACCACAAAATATTAAAATGTCACATAAATTACACCCTCTCTTAATATAGAGCTATATGAATATTTTGGTATGTATTTTTATATGATTAAGAATTTTTACGGGGGTTATATTATCCCTTAAAACATTCATCCTTATTCAATAAGGTTCATATTTATCCTCCCATCAAAATATCTTGTAAGCTTTTTTATTTAAACCTATTGGCCCAAACATCTTTGGTGTAATTAATTACTAATTAATTTGGACTATCCAAATAAATTAGGTCGGATAATTTTAGGAGGCCCACATTAGGAAACAATTTTCCAAATTATTCTTAAACCTAAATTAGGAAACTAATTTTCCTTTTAGGTAATTTACTTCCAAATTTGGAATTAACGTCTAAATTAGTACTTTTATTATCTTATTTTTTTAATAATGTTAAAATGTAAAAAAATCAAATTATACGAATTACACTAACTATAAATTACACATATTCACATTCAATGGCCACACATAAACCAAATTGCGATCAAGTCATATAAAACAAACCATAAATCCTAAATTCCGTAATGTTAGCCGAATGTGTTACCAATTTAGGCTAGGTGAATTTTTTCAATTTTAATGCTAATTGCTCTTGCTAATTCATTCAAAAAAATTTTAATATAAAAAATTTAATCAATTAATAATTTATAAATTAATAGCATGCAAAATCCTAAATTTGGACCCATGGGTCGAACCTTACTTAGAGTAACCTAGATTAATTTTTCATTTTTAATAAAATTTCTCATACTAATTCATCTTTTTGTATTAAACTAACTTGAAATTAACTAATTAAACCATTAGAAATTAAAAAAAAATGGAAACCCTACATTTTTCCTAAATTAGGTCGAATGTTAGCCCTAGAGTAACCGAGGGAAATTTTCAATTTTTATGTAATTTCTCATGCTAAATCACCAATTCATGCTCAAATAACACACAACAAGCTATAATTCATCAAACAAATCAAATAATAAAAAACCCTAAAATTTACATTTTGGGTCGAATGTTCTAAACAAAATTAAGCTAAGAAATTCTTGTTTCTAACACCTATTTTTATGCTCAATTGATATATTCTAACTTTAATTTCATATATTTTCAAGTCAAAATCATTCCCCCAAAATTTTCTCACTAAGAATCCTAACCTTAATTTTCAAAATTAATTCAATTAAACATCAATTAAGGATTCTAAAATCACAATTAACATTCAATAACACTTTCTTGTAGTATAGGTGAGATTAACTTACCTAGATAACCCCAATTAAACCTTGAAAAGTTGAATTACCTTAGAATTTCTTCCTTCCCTTTTGTCCTCAAAGTTTCGGTCAACACACTAATTTTTCTTCCTTGGAATTTTTGATGCTCTAACTTGATTTCTATACTTAATTAGGTGTTTTAGGGTGTTTAGAAGTGTTTGGATGAAAATCTTAGTGGAATCTTATGGAAAATTTGCAAGAGGTTCCCTTAATTTTTACAATTTTTCTAACTTTTTTAATTTCTCTATCACCCATATTTATAAATAGGATTAGTTAGACATTTTCCATGGTTGACTCCATCTTCACCTTTCATTTGGTTAGATCTTGAGCCTTGATCTTTCTTTTAATCTCATCCCTTCATTTGTGTTAATCTTTAACCTTCCACTCTTTCTTTAATTTTTATCCTCCCATCTAACCATCCTCTTTAAACTTAACCTTCCATTTGTGCATGCATTAATTACACCCAAATAATTGAGTGAGAGTGGTGGCAAGAAGAGGAGAAAATCTCTCTCAAAAATTGCTTAATTTTAGCCCCATAATTTATTAAACTTTCCTTCAATTACTTTTCCATAACTCCTCCAATTATTCAATTGATTCTTTAGGCCCTTCCTTTAAAGGTTTTTTGACAACTTTTTACTTCCTAAAGTTCATTCCTAATTTAATTTAAAAGTTCAAACTTTTAATTTTATGCAATTAGGTCCCTACTTCTATAAAATTTATTCCACACCTTTCCAAAAATTAATTTCTTTCCATAATAAATTCAAACACCTCCTATAAGAATTGATTCACCATTCACATAATTTTTATACACTTATTTAAGCTCTTAAATTAATTATTTTGTGTAGAAATACACTTATTTCTATAGAAAATATTCCTTATAGTTAGAAAAATTCATATAAGTTCATAGAATATTCCTACACCTCCTTAATGATTTTTCTATGCCCATTGGATAATTTTTTTGCACCTTTAAAACACTTAAAATAATTCAATACCTAAGAAACACTATTCATGCAATCGAAAAGTTAAAATAAAATAATCACCGAATATCGGAAAATTCATCCAATAAAACCGAATAATCTAGCACCCCTCTAGAAAATAGTCTATGCAAATAAAATATTTTTCAAGCGCATTTAAATTGCTCAAAGCATTTATTTTGCATAAAAAGTTACTATTCATTCATCAAAATTCGGATACAATATTCACTCAACACTAGAAAATTATCCTAAGCACACCGAATATTCTAGCAACCTTATAAAAATTATTCCATGTCCATGAATTAATTTTCTCACACCCTTAATATATTTTTATTCCATTTAATAACAATTCGAGTTATTACAATTTTTGCCTAAAAATCTTTATAAAAAAATAAATTGTTCAAAAAAAAAAAAACTAAGAACTAGGCACGTGCACCTTGGCTTGGATGACTAAGCCCGCACGTTGGGTATGGAGGACCAAGCCCTCTTAAAACAATTTATAAAAAAGAAACAAAATGGACTATACATCGTCTTGTTTTTAAATCAATCCGTAGGTGGGCCTAAACTCAACCGATTCCGGAGTTCAATCGGTGTTGGATATGTTCTCGACTGGGGAGTCAACTCACCTCTGGACGGTGGGAGAGGGCTCGATCCGAAGTTCAATAGGATGCATAAATGAACCGACGCTATCAAGATTCCAAGCGAGTGTTAATTGCCAAAGTGACGGGTCCATAGGAGCTTAGTCGACACATACTGTCGGATTGGTATCCCTCCCAACCCATCGGATCATTCACCTTTTTTATTGACTTTCAGTCCTTTTTTCGACGAACGAGTCTACCTTGACCACACCCAAAACTCGCCTTGTCCCCTATTCCTACTCCTTCATCTTCAACCCTTTCCCTAGCTTAGTGAGACACCGACCAAATGGGCTAGGAGGGAGGAGATACGAATCGAAAAGAATGGAACAAATGTGGTCAATAAGAAGCTCCAAAGCCCTACTTCTTGCTCCCTTTCGATCAATGACAGAACGAAATGAAAACAGAGTGAATGACAAGCTCTAGAGAAGGATGCGAACCTTAGTTATCGATGGTTGTGGATCAAGACCAAATTCATATTCCCGAGCCATAGCAGTTGGCAAGTATAAGATTTTTCATCCGCTTATCATATTTTCACAACTCTAGAGCTTGGTGAAGGGGTGTAGCCCGATTGGCTAGCCGCCAAGCGAAAGAAATGTACAAGAGCGATAGACACTTAGTCGTTGTTTCGGTTCTTAGTATCGAGCAAACTCCTCTGCATCATTTCGGTACGGTGCTCTTCGCGTTATGGCGCACCGATGAGACAAGTAACCCCGACCGAGTTAGGAGTGAGCCTTAATGCACATTTAGAGTTCTATGGTAAGTTTTATCCGAGTTGAGTAAAACGATTATCGGCTTTACGAGCACCACATTAAGACCTAGTTTCGTAGCCAAGTCGGTAGCCTTTCCTTCGATTTGATCCTCGTTTTCGGTAGGGTCAAGATCGGTAGAAGAGAAAGAGGCCGATCCCGCTTGACTTTGACTCTTTCTTGCTTGGGTGGTCTCGTATTATAGACTTGAAGCCAAAAAGATGGGGTTGGATAAAAGAAGATCATTTTTTCGATACTCTACGAAGGCAAATTTGAGGTAGGCCAATTATCCTAAGGAGTATAACTTTCCATATGACTATTTAAATAAGGAGTCGGTCTAGTCGGTCATGAATGAGATGACATGTCATCCATCTATAATTTTTTACGAGCCGGTGTTTGCGAAAAAAGTCACAAAAAATCATGGTTTTAGTTTTCTATCGTCTCTAAGGCCAAATTCAACTTTATATTTGTCCAAAAACACCTTAAAATCAAAAAATTAACTTCAACAAAATCGTTTAAATCTCAAAACACATTTTAATCTATACAAAAATTTAAATCAAACTCAAAAAATGTAAAATATTTTCATATTCCGATTTACTTTCTCTAATTATTTTTTAACTTGTAACCACTACGGATAGATTCAAATTTTCAAAATAATAATAATAATAATAATAATAAATTGATAGTAATTTTGATGGTTGAGATAGTCGAAATGGACCTTGCCTCACTCTCTTTCTCTCTCTATACCCTCCATCCTCTCTCTTCATTTCTCTTTCCTCTTAGCAATCGTAGATCCCATTGCAATACAAATAAAGTTCAAGATTGAAATGAAACTTTTCCAAAAAAATGGAGGAAATGAAGTTCAAATATTTTCACTTTTTTTTTCCCCAAACAACAAAAATGTAGTGCCAATAAGCCTATGTAAACAGTGCCAATGAATGTGCATGAGCATGCAGGATGTGAACATTGCAAATGTCTACGAGTGTGCAAAAAAATATATGCGAAACACTTGTTTTGAGACAAAACTAGGAAGCCACGTGATTCAAGTGGACCATACCTTGCGTAGATTGCAATCAAGATGGTCCCATATAATGCTGTGAAGCCACGTGAGTAATATGCACAATAGCCTACGTAGATCGTCACATTTGGTACCGTAGGGTACCATGCGACAAGCCCCAACAAGAACATCAAGAATCGGACGGGTTCAGGTGTGTACTAGATGGTCTTGGGCTTGTGTGGATGGTCAAAGTTTCAGAAGTATTCATTGGGCTGGGCCAAACGACCATCTTTACGCAGGCATGTCGAAACCTCGTAAGTTAGATCACAAAAGCAAAGCATGAAACTAGCTCTAAACTTTGTATTAACAAAATAAACAAAACCCGTCAGGGTTTTTAGAGGAAAAGACTTTCGACCCTTTCTTTGCGCTGTTGTGCAATCCTCTCTCTCTTTCCGCCCCCGCATCGCCGTCAAACTTCCACCATGGGTTCCAAAAAGAAGAACAAGTGCAAAAGCGAGGAAAAGGAGATAATCGATGATCCACGGTTTGCATCCACACACACCGACCCGAGGTTTCAGAGAGTACCTAAGAGAGAATTGAAAGTCGCAATTGACTCTCGGTTCAATCGTATGTTCACCGATAAGAATTTCGGTACTTCTTCTGCTCCCGTAGATAAACGAGGCAGACCTAAGAAGCAAAAAACTGATACTAGTCTCCGCCATTTCTACCGAATCGAAGAAGAAGAGAAGAAAGGCGCGAAGAAGAATAAGAGAAAAGAGGAGGTTTTGAGTAGTGAGGAAGAAGAAGAAGAGATTGAAAAGGACGCCAAGAAGAGGAAAAGAAAAGAAGAAAGTTTGATAAGTGAGGAGGAGGAAGAAGAAGAAGAAGAAGAGAGTGAGAGTGATGATGTTGACGTGGAGGGAAGCGAAGAGGAGGAGTCGAGTAGTAGTAGTAGTGATGAGGAGATTGATTATGAAGACGAGGAGGATATGGATAATGTAGAGGTGATTTTTTTTTTCTTTTTTCTTTTTAAGGTTAATTTTGAACTTTTAATTGTTTTTGTTTTGCAGGGGTTAATTGCTGTTATTCTTTTATTTGTTGAGAGAAAGAGAGGGATAATTAGAATGGAACGTGTGTTAAAGATTTTATTTTTTGTACCTTTTTTGTGCTGATATATTCTTAATTTTGAACCAATAGGGAATTCATAAGAAATGATATTGTTTGTTTGTTAAGAGAACGGAGGGAAATTGTGGTGAAGGTTTAATTTTTTATGCGAATTTTTACTTTTTTTAGTTAATTAGTAATGAACTCATAAGCAGTGGTATTGTGTAGTTGTTGATCAAAGGAGGAAACTAGAATTGAAGACTGTGTGAAAGGGTCAAGTTTGTTTGTTTGTTTTTTTTTTTTTTTTTTTTTTTTATGCTTTATAATGCTAATATTTCCTGGTTTTTTAGTCAATGGTGAACTTTTAAAGTGTGGTATGCTTGGCTGTTGAATGAATGGATGTAGGAAACTGGAGTAGAAGTTGTGTTAATGATTTAATTTTTATACTTTTGATGCCAAATTGTTATGGGTTTTTTTTATAATAAACAGTGTTATTTTAATGATTACAGAATTGCGTGTGATGTTATCTTATTTTGGAATTTGTTAAGGTTAGTTGTTATTGGTTGGTTATTGAGAAATGGAGGAAATCAATGATTCTATCTAGGTTTTTTTTCCTGATACTTTCTGATACCTAATGAAGTATTGGAGATACAGAAGAGTAAATATTCCTAATTATTGCTTTGATTTTTTTGTTATACAGTGAACTTAAAGGTTGTATTTTATGTGTTGAATTACTGGATGCAACAGGTTGAAAATGTACCAGTGGTTGAAGACGCAACGTGCAGGCTTGCTGTTGTTAATATGGATTGGAGGCATGTCAGGGTAATGCTATCAAAATTCTAGAATTTACTTGCATCTGGAAGTTTACTACAACATGGAAGTGTGCATACGTCTACAACATCATTTGCCTTTTTCCTTTCTTTCTGTTTGTCTGGAACTAAATTTATAGTATTCAAGAAAATATGTTCACCTTTGAATTATCATGAGCTAGGATGATATTTCAATAGGGTATTCAGTTACTTTACTGTCGAGAGGTTTGGGCTTAGTTTTGCTTTCAACTTTAAATAGGACTTCAAATATGGAGAACTTAAAATTGGAAAAAGCCTTTATGTTTCCCGTTGAAACCAATTGTGTGTGTTTGAGCTCTATAAACTTCAAATATTTTTCGTATCTCTTGTGCTTCCATGAGCCGCAATAAAGGTCCTGCTCATGGAAGCTAGTCTCCCTCCTCCTTATATATATATATATATATAGAAGGAGGTTTGCATGAATAAGCATGTGCTTGACCATAGATTACTTCATTGTTTTCTAGGTATTTGTATGGTGTGCCCCTAACTGATTTGTTTCTTTGATAATTTAGGCAGTTGACTTGTTTGTAGTATTACGCTCATTTCTTCCAAAAGGAGGACAGATTTTGTCAGTCACTGTCTATCCCTCTGAATTTGGACTTCGGCGCATGAAAGAGGAAGAAGTCCATGGCCCTGTTGGCTTATTTGATGATGAAAGTGAGAAAAGCGATGAAGATGATGATGACAACAATGAGATTGACCATGACAAGTTGTGTGCTTATGAGAAAAGTAGGCTAAGGTCAGTGATTGCGTGCTTTTTTATATGCATTCCTTCATGCTAAAAGTTTTCAAGAACACTGATGAGCCTATTTATTGGTGCATTCCAATTCTATTTGAGGTTTGACAAAGGTGAGACTTGAACCTGAGACTTCACCCCTCTTGCATATGCAAGAGTACCACTGAGGTACTAGCTCATTGGTCTTAAATATCATTTGTGGGGAACTTGTGTGCTAATGGTGACTTTTAGTGTTTTCTTTTCGTAATTGTTTTTCTCTTTTGAAATATGATTAGGGCAGATTTGTAACTTCCCAATCTATGTGCAAAAATGTCTTTTGCTGCCTCCATTAACACTTCGTTTGCATGCTGTTCAGTAGATTCTACTACCACTGCCTTCATCCACCTCCTTTTATTCCGTCTTTGGCTATGGATTTATTTAGAGTGTGTCTTCCTCCTCAGGTACTACTATGCTGTGGTGGAATGTGATTCAGTTGCAACAGCTGACTATCTTTATAAATCTTGTGATGGAGTTGAGTTTGAAAGATCATCCAATGTGCTTGACCTTAGATTTATTCCTGACTCTATGGATTTTAAACACTCACCTCGTGATGTTGCCACAGAGGTACAGGTTTCAATTCTCTAATGATAATGGGTTTATGTCTTCATGATAATTGCATGTCTATTGACAGTCTTACATGGTATGCATCCAAGGCTAGGAAATTTGTTTCTATAGGAACCATTCTATGCTCCAATACAATTACCAGTGCATCTTACAGAAACAAAAGGAGCTTCTTTCTTTTTTTTCTTCCCACATTTGGAATTTTTGTATTTCCATATACTTTTAGCTAAAAAAATAAGTAAAATAAAAACAGAGAGAGAGGGAGGCTGTGTAACTTCTGGGTGTTTTTGATCTCCACTTTTTGCTCAGGTGCCTTCAGGCTATGAGGGGTTGGATTTCCATACTAAAGTGCTGCAGCACAGTAACATTCCTGTTTCTTGGGATGAAGATGAACCGCAGCGTGTGAAGACCTTGAAACGAAAATTTAATGCTGGCCAGGTAGGTTGCTTGAAAATTTAATGGGAGGTGTGGCTGTCAATTTTTAGAGTCATATATTTGACTGGAATCATATATTTGGATTTCCATAAGATCTGTGAAAGAAGCAACAATTAGTACATCTAAGTTTAAGACAAATATGCATGTCAGAAACAGTGGAAATTTATATAATGCTCCCTTCAACTTGGTCAGAAAGCTTTTGAGTTGTTAATTTGTGTGTTCTCTTAGCATCTATTGTGACCAGTGTCTATTTTCATATAGTTAGCTGAATTGGAGTTGAAAGAGTTTCTAGCTTCCAATGAGAGTGAAACTGACAATGATGAAGCTGATAATAATGTGGAAGACAAATCTGATAAAAAGCATAAAAAGCGAGATAAGTACCGTGCTTTAATCCAGTCTGGTGATGGTTCAGATGAAGACCAAAAGGAGGGTCAGGATATGGAGGTTACTTTCAACACTGGCTTAGAAGATTTAAGCAAATGTATTCTAGAAAAGAAGGATAAGAAATCAGAAACTGTTTGGGAAGCATTTCTGAGGAAAAGGCATGAGAAGAAGAAGGCTCGACAAAATCAATCCAAGTATTCTTCAGAAGAAGAAAGTAGTGATACTGATGAAGAAGGAATAGAACAGCCAGATGATTTCTTTATTGAAGAGCCATCAGTTAAAAAGGGTAATGACAAGGACTCTCAAGGTAAGAAAAACAAAGAAGAAAAGCAGCTTCAGGATACAGCTGCGAAAGCAGAGGCGGCAAGCAAAGCAGAGCTTGAGTTATTACTTGCTGATGATAAGGGGGGAGAAAAAGGTCTTAAGGGATATAATATGAAACCTAAAAAGGCAAAAGGGAAAAAGGGAAAAGATTTTCCATATGAGAACAAAATACCCACTTCTAATTTGGATGACCCCCGGTTTTCTGCTCTTTTCACTTCGACTCTCTTTGCATTGGATCCCACAGATCCACAGTTCAAAAGGTACTTCCTCTGGATCACTTGATTTCTTCACGTTACTAGACTTGGTATATTGATGCATGTTGATCAAACTGCTTGTCCCAACTAAACCAATGATTATTCCTACGCTACTGATTGTGCAAACTGGTTGGTGCAGTTTTAAATTGCGGACATGGTTATAAAAAGTCACTAAAGTAAAATAACGGTTGTGTTAATCGATATCGTAAATGCATTAGTGTGGTAGTAGCTGTTAATAAATTTATTCTAATTTACATATTATTCTTTTACAAATTTTATAATTAAGTATAGTAATATCTCTAATAGTTTAATATCATATAACAATAGTTAAATTTATTCCAAAAGAAAGATAATAACACTTTTAATAGTTTAATATCACACAAATAATAATAAAATACAAAGAATCAATTTTTTTCTTTTAAATAGCAGCCATGATTTGCCAAATAACGGAAAATGATGGCATTATATAACGGTAATGGCATTTAATGCTGTTATTTGTGTGAAATGCCAATTTACTCTATAACAGTGTATTAACGATAATGGACACTGTTATTTAGAATTATGTACTAAATTGATCTGGAAGGCGTTTAATAGCCTGCCTGCTCTTGCTTTGCAACTAAAAGTCTCTGTTTTGGTATTGCAGGAGTGCAGTCTATGCAAGGCAGCTGGCACAGAAACAGCTGAAGAGGAGTGAGCAACAATTGGTGGAAGGAGAGAATAAGAAACAGCCTGAAAAGGCTCAGTTGCTATCTGATGATCCTGCAATGGACAATGATGAGTGCATGATATCTGATGGTTTGCCAGAAAAGAAAGAGAAGCACGAGTTATTGTCATTGGTAAAATCCATCAAGATGAAGTCCAAGCAAGTTCGGTCATCCTCCAACAGTAAGCAGTTGAAAGATAAAAAATTTCAACCTAAAGGGATGAAAGAACTAGAGAAGCCCGAGCTCTCAAGCTTGGTTCAATCAGTAAAGAAGAAGGCCGAAGTTTTGAAAAAATACAGGACCTGAGATTATTTTTCTTTGCTATTCACGATAGTGGGCAAAAACAGAGAGATGATGGAAGTGGAGTGGAGCAATTTGAAACAGAGTCTGCTCCACCAGTTTGTACTGTTGTAACTTATAGAATGCCTTTCCCCCAGTTTTTGCTACATAAAAGAGTTTCTTTTTTATGTTTATGGAAGTGCATTTGGGACCTTATGTAATGTTTGGAGTTTGCTAGAAGCATTGAGGGTAGAAGGCTATCCATGTATTACATTTCTAAGAGAGATGTGGCAGGTAATTTGGCACATTGATTGCAAGAAAGTTGAATTTCTGAATGAAAGAGATTGTGTCTGCCAGTGGCCTGGCTTTTTTGAATTTTATGGCCATAGATCACTGATCTTGTCCTTCTTTGGGTCAGCTATGAATTTTTCTCTTCTCAGTACAAGTCGAATGGAAGGAGAGTGCGGATGCTCAGAATGGGCATGGGAGATTAATAGTGCAGAAGTACATGGTACTACGACCAAAACGTAAATGTGTAACCGTATAATATCAATCGTGTCTGCTTATAATCAAAATACATTTACAACCCCCAGCATCAAATCATGTTTAAATGTAACTAAGATCCAAGAAAGAAGAAAGGAAAAAATAGGAAGCCAACACCGCTTCCATTTTGATGTATATAGTAAATGTGGAAAAAAATGCCTACCAGTAACCATGAATATGCTACAGGGGAAAGGTAAAGGCCTTAGTGTGAACAATAACCAAAAGAATAATCAAACAATGGCAAAGAATAGAACTAGAACGACCATTAATGTGAAAGGTAAATGGTTTCGGCTGAGGTGAATGACTCCCACCAGGAGACGATGCTGCTGGTATTTGAGTTGACGTGGCTTTTGGGTTGACCGCAGTAGCGGGAGGCACAGCAGCATCTGGGCTTACAGCTAGAGTGTTGGTGTCAGCGTTGTCATAGCCTGGGGACAGAAAGAAATATCAGTAGGAGATAACAAGGGAAGGGGGAAATGGTGTTTGCTTTTAGAGATCCAATCCAAAATGGAAAAACACTCACAGTTGGATTGCTTCCAACCCAAAATCATCCTCTTGCGATCGAAAACTATGCGATAACCAGTCATGAAATTTTCTGCATGGAGATAAATTTTGATTAACAGTTTCTCACTGCATAAATTAAGAAATTTTAAACATGCTAATTCAAAGTTTTGTTTATTTTTTTCCAAGTCTGTCTTAAAAAATGGTGCTGAACTTAAGAAACAAAAAGCAGGCAATTATATGTATAGCACAAGATCGGAGAAACTATGGTTCTCCAAAAACACCCCCTCACCAAAAATCCAAAAATTAATTAATTTTAAAATGTAATGAAAAATAAGAAAAGCTATTTATAGTCAGAGATACTCACGTCCAATGATGTTCACATCTCCACTTTTGATTATACCTAGACAATATACCGAGGAACCATCCTGCAGTTCATGAGAATAAACTTTAGTTGTATTCCAACAGGCAGGACTAAGATATCAGACCCATGAATGCATACTTACCTGTAGTTGAACCTCTACTATAGGGTCAGTGATGTTAAAGTAGCCTCCACCGCTCATCACCAGATTCACTGTGGGAATGCTATGCATACTGCATTCAACGTGAAAGTCAGTGCCTGAGGGATTACAGAACACACAAGCACATGCAAGAGGAGAATTTGTGCAGATATAAATGACCTTATGTCATAACAATAATCAAAAGGGAGATCAGAAGTAGACAAGTGACGCGTTTCATTTACCAATTTATTGAACTGCAAAAATGCCACAAGAAATTAGTACCCAAATGGTAGAAAGTCGAGCAAATATCAAGACCTAATACGAAAACTACTTACACTCTCAGCTATAAGTGTATAAGCTGGATCGTTCAGGTATGTAAATGAGGTACCAGAATCAAAAATTGCACTAGACTCGAGATCACTATCGTTTCCATCAATACTTGTTTGAGTGATGCTGATGTTGTAAAGCGAACTGGTAACAGGTTTTCAAAGGAAATAAGTACTACTGACATGAAAGGTAGATTAAAAAGAGAACATCTGTGCACATCAAGATTCAAGAAGGGATTACCTGCGTGGTTGGCCTTGATTGAAAGGTGTTTCTTCTTGGCCTGTGCTTCCTTTATCTCCAAAACTGATTCTACCAATCCCACCAGGGTTAAAACACATGGAAAATGAACCAGAAGTATACCCATTGTGTGCTAAAATACTAGGCACAGATACATTAGACATGCCAAGCCCAAATAAGCCGTTGGGAGCTCCGCCAGTCAAAAAGGAACCTGTTTGCACTTGACCACATCTGCAAAAGAGTAAGTAGCACATTTAGAAATAAGAGTTGCTAGAACAGATTTTGATACAAAATAAGAATGAGGAGCACGGTTATGGAATGAGAGAACTACTTTCAGTCCATAGAAATGCACCAGAAGCACTCAAGTTTTTGGCAGCACATGACTGACATCTAGTGAGGTCTCTCACATACAAGTGATCTTTCAAATCGCCAAAATTCCAATGAAAGAACTTTGGTGCTTGGGGTTAAACATATCCAATTTTACTCCAGTTTTTACCAATTAAACCCAGGGGTAACAACTGCATCATATTCACTATCAAGTTGCTTGGGTTTCTTGCCATTTCCAAAATCCATGTGGGTGGTCTTAAATGCATAACCTGATCTAAAACAGCAACGCAGTGAAAATTACCTACCCAAAAGTAATTTTTGCATCAACAGTTTTTGCTCGAGTATCATCACTAGTTAGGTGCAATAAATCCTGTACAAAGTACCCAGTTGTCGAAGTGTCATTAGAAAGATATACAACTTGATAAGGGCAATTGCTCTGATCACTGGGGCATCGATTGCGCTGTGTTTGTGAACACAAGGTGCTGTTGCAGGGGACTTTTTCGCTTGTTGACGATGTACTTGGACTGTAGATATTCAGTTCTACCTGTTTAGCGAAAAAATTAGTTAGTAATCGTGGAAGTGCTAATATCATACATAAATGATAAAATTATTAGATTCAATCACCGCAACAACTGATTCAAATTTTCACTCGAATTGAAAAATTTTCTAGTCAGTTGAGCCTAATGTCAAATTAGGATGCAGAACTGGATTCTCTAATGACTCAGAGCAAGCATTCATCATCAGTCAAAACAACAAAACACCAGAAAATTGACAGATTAACGTAAAGAATTCAAGTGTCAAACAACTTAAACCATAAGCATTCTCAATATTTCTAATGTCAAAATCAAATAAAGTTCTCAATAGCACTAGAAGCAACTAGGAAATTCAAAATAAATGGCATACCTTTCCCGATGATGATCTCAGGCTATGCACACAACTAGAACAATCACATGGCAACCAAAAAAGGTTACTTCCAGTGTCTAGGGCCACAAGAAATGATAAACTTGGTGTCCCAACAGAAACATTAGCATAGTGTAAACTGAAACAAATTGAACAAAAACAGTAAAGATTAGTCAAAATAACAATCATCAAAACACACACACACAAACCTAAATCCCATGTTTGGTTGCCAAGAAAATAGTATTTCCAAATAAAAGAAAAATTATGAAAGCAAATACCTAAATTTTTTTTTTTTTTTAAAAAAAGAGTTCATTAGTGAGGGGAATACTAAAAAATACTAGTAAACATGTAACCAAACAGGTCCTTACTATATAAGGAAACATAACTGTTTTTTCCTTTTGCCTTTCCTTTCCTTTTCTCTACTTTCCCAGAAACCAAACACAACAAAAACTTCAAAAATAAAAAATAAAATCCAACTAAGTTAGAGAGAGAAACTTACAATCCCAAACCATCAAGTCGATAAGTCTCGTTCCCATAATAGAAAGTAAGTGGTGTTTTATTATTATCACCAGTACTAGTAGCCAATCTACGGCCATGAATAACTGTATCGCGATGAGCCATAAGTTGAAAATAAGGAACACTATCTTTCACTGGCAACAACCCATCAACACCAAACATCCCTTTAACTGGATCAGAAAACCGGTGATGAATATCAAAACCGAATGTTCCATACCCAGAAGAGCTTTTCACTAATACAAAAAAGAACAGCAACAAAAACGGAAAGTTGTGGTGAAAATCATGAAAAGAATGAGTAGAGCTGAAAAGGGTAGCCATGGAAATGAAAGTTCAAAGGATTAGGAGAGAGAAGAATTGAAATTGGTGGAGTTCAAAGAGAAAGAAGAAGAAAGGTCTGTTGATGAAGGGTTAAATAGGAAAGTGTGGTTTGAGGGGGAAGTCATGATCAGATAGCGTCATCGTCTCTGTAAGAAGACTAAACCGCGGGGCAGTTTGTTGCCATCCATGTTTAAGTGTAAGTAAGGACAGACTTAAGAGGTGGTGGGCCCCTACTTACTAGACATTAACTAAAATTACTGCTAGTAATTAACTACAACTGCTAATTACCCTTTCTTTTTCTTAGATTTTTGTTTTATGGAAGCATTTTCGGCCCATCAAAACTAAAACATTAACAATGGACCAGATTTCTTGAATTAGATTTTGCATTCATATCAACGTGTTTAAATAATAATGGAATAAGGTTGGAAAGAGATATGTTGTTTCATATGTTAAATTCTTTAAATAAACATTTTTATTTTTATTTTTTATTTTTTACACGGAGTTTTTGCGATTAAGACACCCAAATCAAAATAAAAAGAAAGCGTGATAAGCATTGTAGACGAGTTTCAATTTTCAATTGGCGAAGTCTTTCTTGACTATTTTTAACAGTCCACATCAATCTTCAATTTCTACACGCATTATTGCATCTTAGGCTACAAGTCTTTGAAGAGATGCATCAATCTTTCTCCGAAAATTTTGGCTAATTTAATATGACTAAAATACTAAAACAAAACAGTAAAGACTTCTGTCTTTTTAGTCAACAAAATAGCTGAAGTGAACAAATAGATCAATGCAAGAATGAAAAAGCTTAAAAATACAAGGTCATCAATGCAAAAACACATAAAATACAATGACGTAACTAGAAGAGTAAAAAATAGAAGGCTGGAGATAGCTGTTGTTATAGGTGAAGGAAAGTAAACGGTCGACATCAGCATACATTATTAAACGGTTACGTTAGATGGAAAAGAGGAACAAAAACAGGCCACCTATATTGTACAAGGTACACTTGTTAATCATCAAATGTGCTTCCAATTTTATTATTTTTTTTTTTTAAAGGACCAACATCCGATTTTTTTAATCCGTTTTTACATGTTTGGAAATTAATTTTTTTTCTATACATAACAGCCTATTATTTTGATAATAAAATTTTAGAAATACTATCGAATTTTTTATCTAACTTATAAATCAACATTTACAATATTATGATTGAACAACCTCTAATCTAACTTCTACGTTAATTGAACCAAAGGGAATTTAAATAATTGAGCCTAATCAACTTTGTTTTTAGAAAAATATTAAGAGGTGTTGTATTACCGTAAGTATTAAAATCTAATGGCCACCACCACTTGTACTGCTCTTTAAAGTACACTAATTTGGATATGCTAATGATTTGTATGTAAAACATCTTTTAAGATGATTGATCCTTTTATGATGAGAATAATTTCCAACCTAATCAATTTTAATTCATACAAATCATTTATTTATTTTAAGGAATCAAAGCCAAAGAAGGTGAACATGTTAATGATATCCGTTTAATTTAATTATTTTTATGTAAACTACCACTCCATATCTTGACGAAAGCAAGCAAAAAAAAAAAAAACTTTTCATTGAAACCAATACTTAAAAGGGTATCCTTTAGTTAATGAGCTGTCTATTTTTATTTATTTTTTTTTTTTTGTAAACGACAATTCAGAAATTCCGCTATCAAACGAGGAAAATGTAGTATTTTGATGACAATTTACATGAGCCATAAGGATTATGAATCTACGAAATACAAAGTTGGTTTGATTTTTGAGTTTTTATATTTAAAAAGAGATCCGGTTAAGGTGTGCACTCAAGGCATTTGCTAAGAATTTTTTAATCTTATCAATTAATCTACTTTTTTATTTTATAATAAAATTTATTCTAAACATTTAAAAAATACTATATAAAATAACACTTATTAATATCATCATTGGTTTTTTTTTTTTAATCCCTTCCATAACTCAATACAACCAAAAAAAAAAAAAATCAATAAATGCATTTAAATAATATTCTAATGGGTATCACATCAAATAATAATAATAATAATAATACTTGATGGACCCACTTTTTAGCTTTTATATCTAAAAAAAAAATGGCCCGATGAGAAAAGAATTTTTTTTTTATCTGAATTCAGATTTTAGAATCAACGCCCATTAAAATTTTCATTTTGACCCCGGAATACATTCTTAAAATTCCTAGAAAAAAAAAATAGTCTCGATTAACATACATATTTGATTCGAAAATACATTTATTATATATATAAAAAACAAAATTAAGGTAACTTGTGAACTGTTGAGCTCAAAACAACTAGTAGCCTACCATTCGGAATTCTTTTAGATGGGATTCCCACATTTGTGTCAATCACCATGTTTATTTCAATGTGTTCTTAATGAACTGGACTCGTGTAAGTTTGGCCAAGAGTATGAATTTGTGAATGTGGCCGTGATTATCGTTCTATAGTTTCAATATCTCCATAAGTTCAAAGTCAAAAAAGGAGGCAATAACAGGAAGCATCAAAGAAATAACCTATGTCACTCTTCAAATACTTGTTATGCAATTTTATCAAAGTTCCGTCTTTGAAGCTCCAAACAGATTAGACTATGTGACAGTGAGAGGTAACCATAACATTAGAATTCTTCATATGTTGATTCAGGCGCTAAACGGGTTTGCATTTCTTGTTGTTATCATTTTAGATTCGGAAAGAAATCTTTGTAAATACGCATAAAGGACATGCCTCTAAAATTCAGTCGAAAAAGACCTCAATTTTGTTGTTATCTTTCTTTTTCACAAGAGTTCCAATTATTTTGAAAACTTCAAAGCTTTTATTTTCGTATGCTATTCCACTTACCTTTTTAATTATTTAATTTGGGACTGAGTGAACCTCAATTAGTCATTATCACCATTATTATTTATACTTATCTTTTGGTAAGCACCAGAAGGTGGAAATTTATATGGGCTGCAGTTTTAGTAAGAATGATTCATTTGGTGCTAGCATTTAGTTAGTTGTCAAAATCAATAAGAAACGAACAACTTCCTTCTTTTGTTTCTTCCATGTTTGTGTTGCCAAACCAAACTTGATACGAACTCACATAGTTTAATGGTTAGAGAATCTACAAACAAGAAAGAAAAAAATCCCAAAAAACCAAATCAAATTCAGAATAATATGAATGTCACATTTAAAAAATCAAAAATCCTCAAACTCAAGCCCACGGCTAGATTGTGCATCATTTAAAAGTTCAGGGTTAGAATGTTGTTTTGGCAATTAGATTCTCATCAAAACTTCACTAGTAAATCCTCGACAAGAAGAAGGTTCCAAGAATTGGTCAAATTTCTGGGAGTTGAACTTCCTTTCATAGCCTACCACAAGGACTTTGCTTGTTAGACCCTAATGACACACGCTTTCATGAGCAAAAATTAAAGATAGCTCATTTAGAGTCAAGTTGGGATCCTCACCCAATTGCAGTCCTCTGATAGTAACTTTAGTTTTTCTAGCGTAGTAAACCAATGGAAACACAAAAAAGGCAGCCTTGTCACATTTCTACTTAGCGTTAGCGTGCCTAAATAGGAGCACTTGTTTTTTTCCTTGTGATTATTTAAAAGATGAAGATGACTCTAAGGAAAGTACTTATAACAAATTTTACACGAACAGATAGGTAAAATAAGCGACCCAAAATCACATAATAGTACAACTCTTACCCTTGTATTTATTTGTGCAGAATTTGTCAACTTTGGTGGCTGCTGTGTAGTATTATTCGGATTGAAATGGGTTCTAGTAACAGGATTCAAAGTCACTTATCTCTCTGCTCAAACAGAGGCAAGACTTTAGACTGCTGAGTTCTAATTGAGATTTGTTTAAATTCACCAAAAAGTCCAAAAGCTTGCTTCATTTTGAAGACTTTCGCAAGTCAATATAGCTACAACTAATTTAGTCTTTTTATGCAGGCAGGTAATCAGGGAAAGGCATCCTATGCAAATGATTTCTCTACAGCAGCTAGACTCAAAGCAAGAGGAAGCTGTTCTTTCTCAATCAGAAATTCCAGGTAGAGGGATCGTGTATTCTTGGACAATAAAGGGTGCTTAAAATAAGAGAATAAATGGATAGTAGGAAGTTATACAAAGGCGCATTACATATTTTCATTATCAAAAAGGGGTGGTGATATTCTATTAATATGATACAGAGGTGTAGCCCTAAAGGATCTAGAGCTGGCCTAAAGAATGATCATACAACTTCCCTGATAAATGAATGAACAGACAAGTGGCTATAATAAGAGATGTAAAAGGAAGACAGATATCAAGCTAGTCAAAACAAAAGTATGGCTATAGCAATATGGGGATGCAATTGAACTTTGAGATTCTTTCCTGGCCTCTTTTGTTGATCCTGTACTAGAGTTGCTACCCAGTCCAGCTGCAACTGCAGGAGGAATGGAAGCATGTGGTTCTAGTGGGAAATTGCTATCATCCTCCATATCATAACCTGCATTAGAGCAAGAAGTTTGGTTGCTTAGTGATGCCATTTCATGGAAGTATTAAACAGTCAGAACATATATGAAAGCAACACCTACAATCAAACTTCTTCCATCCCAAGACAAGTTTTTCTCGATCAAATACAACACGGTAACCAGTCATGAAGTTTTCTGCATAAGGATCAAGAATTTGTATAAATGCATTTAAGAGAACATATCATTCTTTTACTTTCAAAAATACAAGTTAAATTTCCCAGTGTAATGATTACGAAATGGAGAAACAAAACAAATCATAACATGTAGAATTTATCCTCAGTTGCATATCATCATTTTCCTTGACCATGGATTGCTAAAACCAAGAATTCTAACTTACGCCTGTTATAAGGTCAGTTAGATTCCAAGTGTAGCATCCATTTGATTTTATACTAGTAAGCATCTTCACTTTCTTATTTGTAAACTCATATCAAATGCAATACTTACGCCCAATTATATTGAGTTCTGTGCTCTTGACAAGGGCCAAGCAATAAACAATTTCGTTCTGCAATTATTTTGAAATGAAAATTATTGGCTATTAGTATCACGGTAAAAAACACAGATTATTGTAAAAGGATCTGGCGTAAAACATTACCTGAGTCGAGATCACAATTATTGGATCATAGATAGTAAAATGCCTTCCTCCTTCCATTGTTAAACTCATACTGGGTATCAAACTCGCATTTGCATCAGGACTGCCCATCATCAAGAGAAAGGATACAGTTCTAGAGGATATAGACTGGTGGGTGATGATGAATAAGGTTTCATGTCTATATTATTGCACTGTATTATAAGGCCTAACCTCATATCATAACAATATTCAAAAGGAATCCTGGAATCAGGTGGACGCCGCTTATCTCGTGCCAGTGAATGAAACTGTAAAGGAATGAAAAACTTAATTTCAGTACTGGCTTATTCAAATAGACTAGTAAAATGAATCTTCATCCTCTGAAGCGCTTACATTGTCTGAGACCCTTGAATAGGCTGGGTCAACCATGTACGTAAAAGAAGTCCCGGAATCAAAAAGAGCTGTGAACTCTATATCAATTAATGTAGTTCCTACTCGAACTTGAGTCACAGTAACGTTATAGGTTGGGCTGCATAACAGTACAAGACAACAGGTTATGGAATAACTAACCTTCTGTCAAGACAACTACATAAGACTATCAGCATCAAGTAAATGAGAAATTACCACTTACTGTGTTGGGTTCACATTAAACGGGGTCTCTTCCTGGTCAGGACTACCCTTGTCCCCAAAACTGATTCTTCCAATTCCATCATGTCCAAAGCACATGGAGAAAGAATCCGCTATCAATCCCTCCCTCGATAAGACACTAGGAACAGAAATCTTCTCCATGCCCAGCCCAAATAAACCATTGGGAGCAGCAATGTCCAGAAATGAACCACTCTGAACCTGTCCACAACTGCACATTTCATATTGCATTTTCATCTCAACCTAGACCCAAAGCGCTGTAATGAGAGAACAATGCTATCCTAAAGCAAGGGGTTAAATTGTTATTAGATGATAAAATAACTCACCCAAATGTGACATACGCTTCAACAAATTCTCTTCCACCATCTTCTGTTGTCAAGTGCAGAATATCCTCTACCAAAATCCCAGAAGTAGATGTTTGAGCAGAGACATAAGAGACCATGTAAGGGCAGGAGCTGAATGTTCCAAGGCAGCGATTTCGCTGTGCACACAAATCATTGTTGCAGGTGACCTTTTTGCTTGTTGATGACTGTCTTGGGCTGTATATACTAAGCTCAAAATCCTGCTAAGTGAGTGACATGGTAGAAAATCAACTTTGAGCAGCTAATAGCATTTGATATAAAAGCAGTAAAAACGAATCCATCTAGATTCTTAGTTCACCGTTCGTCATACCACCAATAGCTCCTTTAACTGTCAAAAACCTAAGATTGGTCAAACAGATTACGTGCACATAGCCTCTAGTCTGTGCTTTAGTAATCCAATTACTAAGAGCTACAGATTAATGCTCCAGTGGAATCGTTTCTGGAGCTGTTTCTAACATCAAGAACGTGAGATCAATAACAAAGAGGAAAAAAAACTACAATGAAGGACAAGATAAAGCCAAACAAGATGAATCAACAAAGTAAATAACAAAGTCAAATTGCATAAAAAGCAAGCCTTTTCACTTTTATTTATTTATTTATTTATTTGCATATTATTACACTAACAAATCACATTTACTAAAAAAAAAAATGAAGAATTGAGAAGAGACACGTACAGAAGCATAACTAGCTCCCTGAGTAGGTGCACATTTGCTGCAATCACAAGGCACCCAAAACAAATCACTTCCTGTATCAAGTGCCACCATAAACTTCACTCCTGGTGTCCCCAATTCCACCGTTGTGTAATGCAAACTACACATTCACACACCACACCAACGAAAAAAAAGGAAAGAAAGTTTTTGAGAAAATAAAACCAACTCAAGAATCACTGAAACAAGAAATCTTCAAAACCCTCTTCAAGAATCACTGAAAGAAGAAATGTTTTAAAACCCAGTTCAAGAATCACAAAAACAAGCAAAAGTACATTAACAGTAACTAACAATGAAACACAGAAGGTTCAAAGAAACATACAAACCCAAAGAGCTGATTCTAAAGGTTGAATTCCCATCAGAGAATGCCAAAGATGCATCAGCATCAGAGAGTCTGCGCCCCCTTAACATCTGATCACGATGAGCCAAAGCTGCATAGTATTCAAAACTTCCTTTTTCAGGCCAGTTTCTAGTCAGACCTGACCAGTTCTTGAATGAATCAGAGAACCTGTGGTGCATCTTGAAAGTAAAGACACGACCTTTACAGGTTTTAGAGGAAACCCAGATTGTCATTAACAAAAAGAAGGTTAGTTTCAAAAAAGATCTCATTTTGGAATGAAAATGATTATTGCGTTGCCTACGAAAGACAAGATCTTGATTTTAAAGAAAGCGGAGATGTCTTATGTGTGTATTACTAGTTAAAGTGAATCAAGGAGTAGTGGTGTTAGTAGTATCGAAAGTAGTTGGTAGTTAAGGTTTTTTCTTGCATGTGGAAGATGGGGTAAATATTTTTGTTTTGCTAATTTTCCTGGGATTAGGGGAGAATTTTTTTAGTAAATGGGGAACTGTACTCTTCTTCTTCTTCTTCTTCTTCTTTAGTAAAAACATGAATTTATGAATTATTTTTATAAAAATCTAATATTTTATAAACAAACGAAGTATAACTGTTAACATATCTAATAAATTTTTTTATTAGTTTTTGAATTTTTTTATCTAATTATTCAAATTCATGCCATATTTACGAGATTTTTTTTCTTTTACAATCTATTCATAATCTGAATTGGTATATTTTGGAAAAAATTATTTTTCTGATAATATTATTTTAATTCAAATTCAAAATAATAATAATAATTAAAAACAAAAAACAAAAAACAAACGAACTCGACAAGATATAGAATTGAGGTTGAAGCGGAGTTAGGAATATGAAAGTGAAAAGGACGGGTATGGAAATTCATGACCTTTCTTTTTACCCTTTCTGGTACAGAGCCAACTCCATTTTTTACTAGCGATAAGTTGCACTGTGAATTAGACAAAATACATAAAATTATTTTTAAAAATTATTTTATTTTATTATCCCATGTTATATTATATATCTATTAAAATATATCAAATTTTATATTTGACTGATTATTTTTTAAATTTTTCATAATTTTTTATCAAAAAAATTATTTAATAGTATAAAAAATGTCAAAATCAATAGATTCTTAACTAAAAATTTATTTAGTAATTTTTTAAAACATTTTTTTACCTTAAAATTTTTGACTAAAAAAAAATCAGAGGAAAAAAGGATCAAAGTGATTAAAAAAAAGGATTGAGACCAAACAAAAAATATTTGTAAATTGAAAAAACTATATTTTAAAAAAGAAAGACCAAAGTGCAATGTTACAAAAACTTTTATTATAAATGTATTAAAAATATTTGAAAACTATAAAAATATCATTGCATAGTGAAAGGAATAGTACATCTAAGTCCGGATGAATAGTGAAATAAGTTTGAATGAATAGTATTTCAAATAGTAAATGAATAGTAAATCATGGTTTTCCTTTAGTTTTATTTATAATTTATAATTATAATAACTTAGGTGAGTTCCTAATGAAAGTCAAGGAGCATGTTTTGTTATCCAATGGCAAGAATCAAGTCAAAAGTGGGCTCCATGGCCATTGGGCTAGTTTTAAGCATTTATAGGTTCTACTATTTTGAGCTTTTCTCTCATAGAAATTACTAACATATATCCTGCGTGTTATCACATTATGAATTATATATCATTTTTATGCATTCATTAATATAAAATTCAACATCTACAAATCATTATTTGACAATATCATGTGAAAATAATTTTTTTAAAAAAAATTAAAACATATATTTCATAATTTGCTATAGGGTTAGATAATGAAAAATCTATAAAATTGAGTAATATAATATTACTATTTAGATATTTTTTATATAAACATGTATTTTATTAATAGCTGATAATTAAAATAATAATATGGTAGTTTTTTGAATTTTCGATGATTAATTTTTACTATATATTATTCATCCGTAATTTATTAATGAGACGAGATAGACCACTCAAACACAAAAAGATAAAAAGCTCTGTCAAATCGAGAACTTGGCAAAGAAAATAGAGATAAAATTACACATGATAAAAATTAAATAATTAAAACAAAGTAAAGATTATAAAATGATAAAAATAAATAAATAAAACTTTCACTAAAAGCATACAAAAATTACTTATAAATAATAAGACTAAAAAAATTTCAATATGCATAAGGCGTAAACAAAAGTAAACATTATAGAATTTTAATGACTAAAATAAAAAAATTAATAACATAAGAATCAAAACAGGAAATTTTTCACTAAAAAAAAAAAAAAAACTTAGGATAGTTAAGATGTATTTAATTTTAATGTAAAATGATTAATAATTAAATATAATAAAATTTTAATGATCAAAATAAATGAAAGATCATAAAAAAAAAACCAAAATATAACAAAAAGTTTTATTAAAAGTAAAAAATAGTTCCTTGTAGGAAAAAAATTAATTATAAAAATAAAAAACAATTACAAAACAAAGACTAAAAATTTTTTTGTACTAAATTTAAAGACGAAAAGAAAGAAAAAATAACAAAACGAAATTAGAATAGAAAGAAAATTTCGGTAAAAAAAAAAAAAACTTTAGGATAGTAAATTTTATTTAGTTTTAGCATAGTAAGTATAAAAATTAAATATGAGAAAATTTTCATAACTAAAATAAAAACATATTAAAAAAAAAAAAACATAAATATTTACTAAAAGTTAAAAAAAATTTATTATAAGGATTAAAATCACATATAATAAAATTTTAATATTTTTGATATGGATAAAAATCAAAGACCAAAAAAGTTGAATGACCAAAATTAAAAAAAAAAAAAAAAAAGAATGAAGGGACCAAAATAAATAACAATTTCCTAAGCGAAAACGAAAGGCAAAAGAAAAAAAGTGAAAAACAAATAGCCGAGCCTATGCGTCGAGTCTGGCCGAGCAGCCGTAAGCCTCGCGAGTCGAGCCTTGGCCGTTGTACAATAAAAAAAAAACCGAGGGCTGCAACTTCCAGCGATCGAGGTCATCGGAATCTTCGTCGAAAAGTCGAGGTTCAAGTTTCAAACCCCTAGAAATTGAATTCCGGTATCATTGTTTTCCCCAAACACCTCTAAATAACCGAATAAAGCCAATAAAAATATCTAAAACCTTAAAAATTATTTTAATGCGTAGAAATATAAAAACAAATTACACAATCAAATCGAACTTTGTTTCCTTTTTTGGCTCCGATCAACCTCTTTTAATGGTTTAATGGCTTGAAACAACCATGGACAAACTCATCTCTCAAAGATAAACAAATTTAGTGGATTTTCGCTTGCCAAAGTGGCCTAAATAAGCTTGGCCGATAATTTTCTCTCTCCGTCTCTCTCTTCCCTCCTCCCTTCTCTCTCATCTAGGGACTAGAATGGATGACCAAATAAAGATATGGATCGAAAGAATAGTTGGCAAAGATCGGGGACCAAAGTGTAAAAAATAATGAATAGTGAATTATGAGTGTGTGAATAGTGTTTGGAACGAGTAATCCAATGTTTTGGTTTAGTTTATTTAGTTAATGAAATAGATTGGTAATGGGAATATGATGCTTGTCGCTACTCCACATCGGACGGGACTCTAAAAAAATTTAAGATTTTTTATTTACAAGTTTGGAGTCGCCACATACTATTGAAGGAACCGAGAACCTAAAATGGGTACCGATGCGGAGATTCCGAGGCAAGGAATTTGTTACGCTTTGGAAAGATATCGATCACCCAAAGACACCCTTTCCTAAGAAAGATATCATGTCTAGTTTAGTCCTAAATTTATATCCTAAAGTATTTTATTTGTGTCAAGTTAATTACTATTCAAACTCTAATTTTTCTTAATCAAATTAAATTTTTTTTTTAATTTTTGGGTGTGACATCGTATTGAAACGATCATCGAAACCCTTTTTCGGGAGACATGTCGGTTCAAACATCGAATCCATTTTTGAGTCTCGACACAACCGATGTGTTGGAGAACATCCCGATTTTTTGAATGTTTATGATATATATTTTTTTAAACTAACAACGATCCCTCGTTAGATATGAGACTTTGTTAAAGGTTTTATGATTTTTTTTTTTGTTAACGACGAGTCCCTATTAGATAGGAGACTTCATTAGAAATTTTAATTAATATTTTTTTCTTTTTTTTATCGGTGGAAAAATCATCATTATTCGCTAAAAAATAGGAAACTTGATAATTATCCATCTATTGATCACCTAAATCTAATTACCGAAATAAAAATCCATAATCACGTCAATTAAATAAAATAAAGAAAATTCAAACATTAAAATAGAAATTAAACATAAAATAAAAAAAATATATAAAATAAATTAAGATTAAATGAAATAAAACTAAGATTTTTTTCTTTTTTTTTCCCCGAGGTTAGGCTAATGATTCCAGTCCGACCCAATTTTCTTTCTTCTTTCATTTTTGTTTTCAAACCGACTAGATTAGTTTTAGTCCAGCCCATGCACACAAGCCCAACCTATTTTCCTCCTTGTCGGGTGGACCCAAACCCACAAACACCTCGCATTTCTTTTTTTTCTTTTTTTCTTTTTCTAAATTTCAGATCACACTCTATTTTTTCATTTTTTTTCTTTTCTCTCACCGTTTCTCTCTCACACTCTCTCTTTCTTTTCTTTCTTCTTTCTTCTCCTCCTTCTTCCTTCCCTTCTTCTCGCCTTATCTCCATGGACGAACTAGATCATCCCTCTATGTTTTTTTTTCTTTCTTTTTTCATTTCTTCCCTTCCCTCTCCCAAATCTCCATCGTTCACCTCCTTGTCTCTCTTATCTCCCGACAACCGAAGCTTTCATCTCTAATTTTCATCATCATTTCCTCAATAAGCCTCAATCATCCTAATTTCTCTTGAAATCGAGGGATCGCCGAGTCTTCTAAAACCTAATTTCTTGAGAACCCCTAATTTTGTTGGTTTGGAAAACTCACCCTAAGTTTTGATTTATCTTAAATCAGCCTCCAATTGAGGCTTAAACCCTAAATTGAAACCCTACCTAACTTTAATTAGCTTTCCTTTCAATTCTCTAACAAGAAATTTCAAACCAAACAACAAAACCCCTAAATTCAAAACCCAAACAATCAATAACCCCGAAATTCCTAAAAATCCAATTCAATTCTCAAATTCAAAACCCAAAATCATCCGGGTTTGAAATCAATTCATCTTCTAATTGAGTGGAAAATATATATATATATACATGAGTGTATGAATGAGGGGG